AAAATTAAGTATAGGTTATTTTGAGGCAACGAGGGGATATGTGATTTATTCACCGAGGCGCGCAGCGCCGAGGTGAATAAACACATATCCCCGAGGTGCCTCAAAATAACGTACTTATTTTCACACTGCGAGGTCGCGTTAATGAGTCAGAATAGAAATAATTCTTAATGCCATATTGCCTTCGTTATGTTGTTTTTTTTCTCATTTTTTGTGCTGCAGAGACATTGCAGGTGAATATTAGAGGGGATTATTAATTGCAGGTGAATATTAGAGGGGATTATTAAACGGAAATTGATTAGAGTGGAATATTGAATATATTCCCCGCTAAGAACAAAGGGAACCGAGCAGGGTGAAAAATAAGTTAGCTATAAACTTAACGCTAACTACAGTTAGCGCTAATTACGTTTTTATACAACCGGCCCCAGATTCCTATACGGATGAAACAGACTGTTGTGGTTTTTTGAGGTAAAACGAAAAACTATATTACGCTCTATCTATATGGTATTGAGCACTGTTTGTGTTTCGTAAACCAAAATCTTAAGCTATATATATATATATATATATATATATATATAGTATTTAGAATCATATATGAGTAGAGTGCTCGATATACCGAAGTATAGAGCTAATCAGATAAAGATAAAATAAACCTGGTTCACTTCATAAGATTTATTCACTACAAACTATATATATATATATATATATATATATATATATATATATATATATATATATATATATATATATATATATATATATATATATATATATATATAAAATATGTATTTAGAATCATTACTGCTACCAATATGAGTAGAGTGCTCGATATCGATATACCGAAGTATAGATCGGTAAACAGGGTGTATAAAAAAACGTAATCGAACTTCAGCGCGCTATTGTATCTGAATTACTCTGCGTATGAACGAGATTTTTTCACATTCGGAAAGATCATGCTTTTAGTTTTATTTTCACCATTGAGAGTTGGGTCTAAAACCATTGAAAATTTGGTACTTAAGTTGATTAATTTCACTTCAATAAACGACGCACATATTCATAATTATTATTAAGTAGGAATAAATCTTAGCTAAGCTACCACACGTTCGTGATTAATTGCTTTTTCTTTTGTTATGCATTGTTTTAATTAGGCACAGAGGTGAAAATATGCGATTTTGACTAACATTTTTGATCGGCCTCGTACATGTTTATTTTTTCTCCACTTGGTATGAAAAACATGTCATTCAATTTCATTCCATAACTACCATCCGCAATTCCGGCTGCAGATGGGGGTTGGGGAAGAAGGCCATGGCTTTCCCACTTCTAAACAGGTTCCGCGGTTACTGGCTACAACCATTAACTTAACCATGGAAACGAATTTTAATGATGAAAAGATCTTACCACTAGTTGTTGGTGTATACTGAATACAATTTTGGGTGGAAATAGATGCTGAAACAAAAAGTAAAAGGCGTATTAAAATGTAAAATGTGCAAAACTAACTACTACGTCTACAAGGTAAACACAATAAACTTAAACGCGCGCAACACTGTCTGTATATAGATTATTTTGAATATACGCCACTGGAGAATTGCTATTCACCTCCAACTGAACTCCCGAAGACACTTTCTTTTAAGGTGGCTCGATACACTTTTCAAAAATTCAGGTGTTCAACACTATGACATGTTCAAACTACGCATTTTAAGGATTTATTCAGCAGATATTGTTTTTCAGTTTCGCCTGGCTTAGTTTCAGCTTTTGATATCTCTACTTTCAAATTGTATTGGTTTTAGTAGCATATAACGACATACGTGAACGAAATTCACTACAAATGAAAAGAAGCATGATGATTCCCAATTTTTTTTCGTGCGCTATTTTACTTGGAAGAAACTAACAATTAGCAAAATATAAAAACATTCTGTAATGCCATTATTTTGGAAAATGCGAAAATGTCGTACTCTTCGGTAAAATGTTTTTGGCATTACAGAATTGGAATTTTTTTATTTTTTGTATAACGAAACTGTTTTAGCAGTGCAATATGCAGCGTTCAAAATTTGAACATAGGTCACCAGACAAAATAGAGAGATATAGCGCATTGTTTTTCTAAAATAGAAAATTCTAATGACGTCAGCAATTGACATAAAAACGCTATAGAACACGCGCAATGACGTGAGATGACGCGAGCCACTGACTGAAGTTATTTCATTTTGTTAATCAGTTTCCGCAACCTGCGCCGCTGCGCGTAAGAATGGTCACCGGGTTTTGCTCGCGATTCTTGAGCAGGGTTTTTGTGATAACTATATCGAGTTACCTTAAAAGTATTATGTATAATTTTTCTATAGAACAAAGTAAGGATTATATATAACTAAAAATAACATACGATTTGAATACAGCTCAATTCTCAAAGCAATTTCATTATTCCAAGATTCGGGATATATTCGTAATTTTTGCATAGCTGTAGGAACTGAGAGGAAGTTCTTCACAACAGATGAGACGTCTGTGTTTCCGGGAAATATTTTCTTTTCTCCAAATTCCTGCAAAAGAAATTAAATACTGTAATTATGTATGTAAGTATAGCACAATAATGTTTTTCAACAATACTTCTGCATTGTTCAACAGGCGCGTATACTCCTGGGGGGTTGGGGGGTGCGACACCCCCCCCCCCAGCTCCCTCCAACGTTGTAATGTTGCAGTTTTGTCGGGCAATTTTAACAATTTTAAGGACACGCTCGTCGGGCAAAAAATATAATTCAGTAATAGTTGTAGTAATAGTTGTAGTAAAAATTCGGTTAAATTTTACGAAAATATTGCTGATAACTTGTACAAATTATGGTAGATTAGTTCGAAACTTGATGAAAAATGATTGATTGACTTGATGATTTCCCTCCCTCTCGGGAAAAGAAATATTAATTAGCTACAGAAATGTCCGTCGGGCACGACTTCGGCCACGCCTTTTGGTCGGGCAAAACAAGCTCCCCCCTCCCCCCTCCCTAAGCCGCAATATCGAAGTTACCGCCGTGCTATTCATTCAGTGATGTTATAATTTGTTAGTTGTATTTCAACTAAAAATGTAGTGCGAACTGAAAAGGATAAAGCCTTTCACCTTTTGCCGGAGCGGAGGCCATCCATCCGATCCGAAACACAATGGGGTTTGAATTTGGAAAAACAGCATCACTTGCCTATCGTTAAGTCTGTTATTATTATTTACCTTGTATCCAATCCAATTTTTTCCATCATAATACTGAAGACTGTAGCTTCGAACAAAATTGTTTTCATTCCATCTCCCAGTGCCTTGTGTAGCAATACCGGTGATATATTTACTGCTGCCAAAATTTATCTAAATATACATTAAATTAGAATGTTTTGGAGTAATACCAAGTGTAGTGGTGGGAAATTCTCAAGCAAGAATGAGTTTATTGATAATATACTCGTGATTCAATAATGAAGTTTTGCTGAATTTCCTCTTCAATTTCTTACTGAGCTTAAAAAAACGGGAATCATTGATTCCCTCTCGACGGGCACGAGTATGATACAGTTTAACCCAGTAAATCTGGTAGGGTCGAGAAACATCACTCAATCTGTATATGAGTACCCATTAATCAGCAGAGTCTTCTGAGAAGGGACACTTGCATTCTGCATGTACAACGTTTGATTATTTCATGGTATAAATCACACTCAAGCACACATATACACGCTACGTTTGAATCTTCTTAGTGAGATCTGTACAATATCAGATTAGATCACTACAAGCTACGTAGCCCACATTCAAGACTGACTTGGTCTACCTTTGAATGTTTCACTATGCTGAACCCCACAGTGAAAGAAGAAACACTAAGCGTCACACCCACCAGTGCATTTGGACTAACCGAAGAAATACTTTCATTTTCTGCACTTTTACTTACCTCCAGATATTGTCCAGGCCTGGTGTAACCAGGCATCCAGGCACTAGAGCCGTGTAGACGTGCATTACCAGCATAATAGGAGTAGTAATTATTCCAAGATATCTTTATTCGTTTTGTACTTGATCCCGAGAGGGAGTAAGAACCTGATTGTATGCCAAGAGACACCATGTCTTCTTCTACAATGCAAAAGAGAGGATAATTTGCACAAGACATACTTTATTAATTAAGTACTCTGCATTGAACGTAAAGTTTAAGCAGGCAGCAGCTGATTTGGGAACATGAGGGATATACTGAAGCTAGAAATTCGATCCGGATGTTCTGAACTTAAATATTTTCAAAAAAACGCTCATTTTTTATAACAAAAACCGTAGGGGGAACCTGGAGAGTTTGGGGCGGCTAAAGTAAACAGAAAAGATAAATAAAAGAGACAGCCGGAAAGGGGCTAAAATAGACAGAACGTTTTATCATATAATTATATTAAATGTTCATAATTTCCCGTCAGGTGACTTTGAAATAGTTGTTTTGGGTGGCTAATGTATCAAAACGTCGAGTCCTTCATGCCAAATCGTCCACAGAATACAAAAAAAATAATTCAGAGATCTAGATTTCAAAATTATCCGAAGAGCATGCCCCAGGACCTTCCATCACCCGGCAACCAAACCAATCTTCCGCCGCCTATGATGAACTGAGTCACGAACGGGTAGCTCGGTGTAGGTAGCATTCATGAGAAAATTTTTGGGATATTGGTTAATTAAACTTGATTACTATCTGCCTCTGAGTATGAAAGTTTGGTATAATTACTTTTAATTGTTTTTCAGTACCACCTATAAGTAGTAGTGCGCCCAACATCCAATTAAAATGCAAGGTAAAAACAATGGAAAATTACTTGGAAAAAATTGCCAGCTTTACCACGTTTATTGATCGACAGTTCCCACGGCTATTGCAATGACTGAACTGACTGTAAAAAATAGTAGTTTCGGTAACCTTTTACTTTTGTCGACCCCCCCCCCCCCCCCCCCCCCCCCCCCCCCCCCC